GACTGGGAATCATGTAAAACCAATGTGTGGATATATTAGTGCATCATTTGTTTTTTTCTCATCTTCACACACAAACACAAATAGAGTTTTCACAACTCTCCACTTTGGTTGGAGCTTTTATAAATAATGGTTTTTAGTGACATTGAACAGTTTTTATCTGGATGAAAGGTCAAACACATAAACATATATTAATGTCCCAGATATCTGGCTTTGTGTGGACTAGGCCTTAGTACCTGTGCAATGATTTAATACCAGTGAACAGGAAGTAGAATGTTTCCGGACCTGGTTCCTGCATATGTGCATGTATGTTTCATAGAAAACAGTCTGCAACATACTTTAGCTTTAAGGGTTACCCTTAGAAAACACTATTACAAATTCTGCAGCTTGTTTCTCTTCCTCTACATGTTTTCTAATGAGGGTTTTCTTTAACTGGTTTCTTCTATTTTCTGTTTGTTTCAGTAAATGAGAAGTGGGTTCCCTGCCAGGGGAAGACCAGCTCCCCTCAGGTAAATCAGCATAAGCTATCTCAATAAAATAATCTACATTTTAATTTGATTACATTCTTCTGGTGGGAAAATAATCACAGTGAGAAATGTTTAGTTAAATTACCACATTTACTGGCATCTCAAAACAAATCCTGTTTCCCTGGCAGATAAATATAGCATGGCACAGACCCGCCCATTTCTTTTGGTCACTTTTCAAAATAGGAAAAACAAGAAAACATGAAACATGCTGCTCTAGTGAGACAGAAAAAAACCGCTGCTCTAAATCTGACCTCATCGACAGTCAGAGTTTAGAAAAACAACTTTAACAGCTGGAAGACAACCAGAAAATGAAGCAGGAACAGGACTACAGCACAGTGCATTCTGGGTCATTACAAATAAAACAAACACGTTAGCTTAGCGCTAGCTGGAAAAATGGCTTGTGGTTTTCTATCTAAAACAAAAAAAATCTTACAGCCACTAAAATCTGACGCTACTTCATTTTGTTTACATTTAGTGAAGAAGAAAGTGGCGCTCAGTGTCTTCTTCTGTCGTTTCACTCAGTGGTTCTTGGTGCAGCGCCTCCAGAGGCGAGGAGGGGAACAGGTTTTTTAAAGGGTTTGGTTCACTTCATGCAGTGCAGTCAGAAAGAGAGCTACAGAAACCGAAAAGGGAGGATGTAGTGCAAATTTGTAATGTAAACTAGTTGAAGCAAGACTACCAGACTATCAGGTGTGGAAAAACCCCTTAGCTTACCACCATGTTTCACTTCCTGTCAAATTTCTGCGTAGCTCCAAAACAGACTTCAGCTCTGTCTTTGTCAGACAGTCGGAGACGAAGTCTCAGGGAATCGCTACTGGTTTGCTAGGTCTAATTAACTTTTAACGTAACTACCAAGTCCAATTTTCTGTTAGTTTGGATGCCGAAACGGATCCAGTGAGTCTCGGTTTGTTGCTGAGCTTTTCAGCAACAAACAGTCCAGGTGGGTCAGGTGTGAAACAGATAAATCCAAAATAAATTCAACTCTCTTCCAGTCCAAATCCGGAAGAGAACTTATAATTTCACAGAAAGTATTTATCAGGTTTTTGTCCCACTGAATACTCAAATTGAAGGTTAGGTTTTTATTTATTTTTCAGTTTTTGTAGCATTTTCTGTCAGTTTTCAGATAATGCCAGTACAATATAAGAACCATTTTTTTCAGCAGCACAGTTTCATTGACACCTGATGTTTTATCGTTGTCTTGATGTTTGTTTCCAGAGCCAAAGGCCGAGCAACCGGAAAGGCCACAGCGCCGTGGTGCTCGGCTCTACCATGCTCGTCTACGGAGGCTTCATGGACATAAAGGGATCCCTGCAGGAGTTCTGGAGTTTAAACCTCAGTAAGTTTATCCACACTAGAATAAAAAAAAGAAAAATGAGCATTTTAATCAGCTTTTTACTCATTTCCAGGATTTCTGAAGAGAGTTAAATCAGGTGTTTGTCTCTGTCTCGGACAGATACGACGGCTTGGTCTGGCTTGAGCGGTTCTGATCGGGGAGCGTCCGTTCCTGGGCCCAGACACAATCACTCGGCCGTGGCCTACCAGAACTGCATGTTCCTGTTTGGAGGCCTGAAGGGTCTGCGAGAGCAGAGGGACTTCTGGAGCTGGAACAGCACCAATCACACATGGACCTGCCTCAAGTGAGCGCCAAGGTTTCCTGTCGCTAAAATTTGAAGCCAACATTGAGCTGGAGGTGTTTGGTCTTCAGAATAGTTTGGTATTTGTTAACAGCTTGTCTGATTTATTAAACTATCACAGTAACTAAAGGTTGGATTATACTCTAGTCCTACTGTGCATAATAGCACAGAACTTAGTCTTCTCTTTGTTCATATGAATTAGTCTGAATGCTGTGTGAAGGATTAATCACAGTGTCTAGATTATTGAAATAACTGTGGACTAATTTAGTAATGGACTAATGGAGGCTCCTGTCCCTGTGCTCCGCAGGCCGGGCCCCCCTCGGCTGATGGGCCACGCCGCCGTGACCTACAGGGACAGCATGCTGCTGTTCGGAGGCGGTGAAAGCCAGAACTCTCCCAGCAGGAGCCTGTGGAGGTACAGCTTCTCCTCCCACACCTGGAGCCAGGTGGCCTCGCTGCCAGGCTCCGACGCTCCGGACCGGATTCACCACTGCTGCGTCGGGCTCGGCCGCAGCTACGAGCCCGACACCGACGGCTCCGGATCGGCCCTGCAGTCGACGCCGCAGGATGCCAAACCCAGACTTTTCAAAAACAAGTGCTTCCCCGTCTCCCACTCGGACATAGAGATGAAGACATTCAGCAAAATGTCTTCAGACGTGGACGCACAGAGCGACACTCAGCCTGACCCCCAGCTGACGCAGAACAGCTTGATGTTTGAGAATAAAGCCTTCAGGAGGCAGTGGAGCTGCGCCGACGATCTGCTGCTCGACCAGGAGGACGGAGACATCTTAAAGAACCTGCCTGACACGCTGCTGGTGCTGGGAGGGCGACCGTACAGCAGACACAGCCCCATCTGCGTCTGGAGCATGACCCTGACCGAGTCCTAACAGCCGCCGAACCTTTACTGACACAGAACAATGCAAAATATTAACAAGTATTTTAGATTATAATATGAAAGATGGAGGTAAATTTGACAAAGACCAGCGGCTGGGCTTCTGAAAATTTCTCAGAGATTTCCTCTATTCTCATGAGGTTCGTTTGGCAGGAGCTCACACTGCAAAAATCACAAAGTATTAACAAGTATTACCGTTCAGTTTTTACTATAAAACTTATTTATCTACCAGAAACTTTTCACCAAGATAAAGGAGCTTGTTTTAAGTCTAATTTCTTAACATTGATGAAAAATTAGTAGTTCTACTGGCAGATAGTTTCACTAAAACAAGAATTTTTTTCCCATATTATAAGTGAAATAGTTCGCCAGAGGAAGTAGTACTTTAGTACTAGTAAAATGAAGTCATATTACTAGTATAAAGTTGTAATATTAATCAAGTTCAATCATGTTTATTTGTGTAGCACATTTCAGCAACAAGACATTTCAAACTGCTTTAGATCATGAAAATATAAAAATATAAACATAATGCAGTCACCAGCTGTGGACACAGTAACATCACATTTTGTCAAGTTTCATTAAAATCATCGACACATCAGATATGTTGGTTAATGTTCCAGTTATTAATGTTCAAAAGCAACTCTAAATAGGTGATGACTTGTTTTATTTTCTTATCGTTGCCCTGATAGTTTGTTATAACCGAAATATTTTCACCAGGAACTAGACAAAAAAAACTTTGTAAGATTTTGTGTTTTTGCAGTGAACCAGTGTTTTTCTGTCTCCTCTCTGTTCACCACTGTTACTGACAACCTGTGCTTAAGAGTTTATAAAAACTGTTTTATATCATCTGGAGGATTTTCTGTTTATTCATTCAAAACGTCAAAGTATTAGAAGGACCCGATCTTCTGGTTGTAGCTCGTCTCTGGCTGCATTTTCATTACAAATGGGCGCAAAACCTTTTCGATATTCTGCTAATATATATTTTAAAAAATCACAATTGCAGCCTATCATTAGAAGAAAACATGATACGCCATTTTCCGCCTAACATCTGTTTCTTGTCTTTTCCCTCAGTAGTAACATCTGGTTGTTGATCACATGACTAGGCTTTTTTTTCCTTTTTTTCAAAAATTGCCTTGTTTCCATTAAGCAAATTTATCTTCGTAGTCATAGAGGGATGCAGCTTATGTTACTGTTGGCAAATTTAAAACAACAGAAGCATCATCTCTGGATGTATTTTCATTAAAACTCTCCTAAATCTGTCCTGCAACCTTAAAAATGTTATTGTCATTGTTCAGAACCAAAAATCTTCAAATTCTGGTTGAGAGGAACTGATGGTTTATTTGAACTGTGATCGTGATGCTGACCAGAAGAGGGCGCCAGAGCTCAATGGGCTCAAATCACCATTACATTATTAGAGATATTTATTATTGTGCGTTTGCGTTAATTACGGATGTTGGAAACGTTTACTGTTGTAATTAAGTAATCTGTTGATTATTCTGACAGTTGAGGAATCAAATAACAATTTGGTTAAGTAGAATACTGATTTGATTAAGGTAAATAAATACAACGTATATACTTAACAGTATTAATATCCGACTTTTTTTATTAAATGTAATAAAAACATAAATAATAAAGCAGCAGGCTCACAAAGACACTAAAATATGGGTATACCAACAGGCAGAATAACAGCATATGAAATCCTATGCTAAAAAAAAAACAAACTGAAAAGCAAACTCAGGCAGAGAGAAACTAAAGTGCATATTTAAGTTTCTTTTCAATGGTAGAAAAATATATTTTGAGGTCAAACTGTAGTTGCTGTATTTTGTATATAATTAATTAGCGAATGTTTTAAAGTGTTAAATCAACCAAAAAGCTCTAGGGGGAAAAAAAAGAGTTTTGCGTGATGAAGCTGGAGGAGAACGGAGCGGCTGCGATCTGATTGCTGAGCTCAGGAGGTCGGGTTCCCTCAGGTGTGTTTAAGACCCTCAGGTGTGTTTAAGACCCTCAGGTGTGTTTAAGACCCTCAGGTGTGTGCGACTGTTCAGGGTGCAGTTGGTCTGGACATGGTGAGGAGGAGAAAAAAACACAACTTATTTTAGCCTTGGGTGACATTCATCCAGCTGGGAAGGCAACATTTCACCAGCAGCAGTATGTCAACATGGCGACACGCCAAGAGACTTACAACGAAAGTGGCCCGAATGAATATTATTATTAGATGGGATCCAGAAGAGATGGCAAAATCAGCCTGAAATCCACAGCAGCAGCACCATAACACGGCAGAGGGAGCGAGGGGAAGAACGACGCTGATGGGGAGCAGAAACAAAGCCAGAGTCCCAACTTTGACCTGGAAGAGAATTATTACATTTTCCAGAGGTATGAATATTTTTTAACCTAATTGTATGTATGCTCTTATTGATCTACCTTATCTTGGTAGATATATTCCCATGAAAATATCTAAAGATCTGTAAATGTAAAGTTACATTCCAAAATTCTCTTAGCAGTTAGCACTGCAGTTAGCATGTCCAAGCCTGTTAGCATGTTGTTTTCCATTCCAGTTCACGCTCTTCTTCCATTTAAATGATCTTTGTTTACTATGTCTGTTCTAGCTTCTGGCTAACCTGTGAGCCTTCAATCTTAAACATATGGCCAGTTTAAGGCTCAGGATTGGTCACCTCCAACGGTTGTCGCTAGGGGCGCTATTGTTAGTCGGCGCAGTAAGCAGGCTAGGTAGAGGAGGTACTAATACCTTTTATTTTGGGACATGGGCCATTTTTGCACCTACAATGTGAATTTGAGACCTGTTACTGTACAAGGCCTTTAAAATCTGTCACTTTAAACATGCGTTTAAGGTGAAAGATGCACTTTAATTTAGAGCAAGGCCGTCATTCATTTTCGTTTTGGGCCAAATCAAGATCATGAATGTTCTTAAAGGGCCGGTTGTGCTGGAATGTACTGATAGAACCCTCTAACAAACTGTTAAAAATATTAAATAAATGTGTCTCCATTTTATAAGTACTGCCTCATCCCATCATCATCATGTCGTTGTTTATTAGGAGACACCATAATTATTAATAATGTCCTAAACAAATCCTAAACAGTTCCTTATGACTTTAACCTTTGCCAAACAGATCAGGACTGCCATCATTGGAAAAATGTACTCAGTGAACACATTTCAATAGAAAATAACCTTTATATAATAAATTTTATATGATCCTCACTTATACTATAAATAAGTTATACATTATGATAGTTTTTGTTTTGCCCTTCCATTTTTCTCTCTCCTTTGTGAATTATTCTTCTTTTCTCATCCTATCTGTATACAATCTGAAAATTATAACTACTAATTGATCCATTGCATGTTTATATTTACCAGCTTCTTACAGATAATTTCTTACTTTATTGTTTTTTTTTAAATTGCTTCACACTGATAATGTCACAATTCACCATCATTATTCTGTGATTTAAATATTGAAAACATTTTCAGCAGGAAAACTCACATCATGTTAAAATGGTTGCCTCTGGACTCTCCGTGGAGGCCAACGGTTAATCACTGGACTCTGGATGCCAATGGATGCCTCTCTCTCTCTCTGGCCGTTGGACTCTCTAGATGCTAACAGTTAGCCGCTGGACCCTCCATTATCTTGCTTGAAAACCACCATTCAGTCCTCATTAAATATCTCCCAGCAATAAAAGGCCCTTGATTGTTACTCAGCTTTCTTAAATTTCTTCAAACTGACTCAGTCCAAATATATAAATATTGAAACTGCTTAAAAGCTCTGCAAAGTTACAAAGTGTAACTTTGTAAATTTTTTGCTGCCAAATCCTGATCACATTTTGTAAGGCAAGCCTTACCAAACCCCCCCACTCCCATTGAGACAACTTAGAAAACTGATTGTAAAAACGTTTATTTTAGAAACCACAAAGTACTAGTCAATACAAAAACGTATAAAAGTACAAAAAAAGTTGGTCAAAAAATATCTGAGATGACAATATTTAAGGTGTACTAATGGCACTGTGGTTATGAATCTGAATACAAAAGTTGGTGCAATCAAAAGAAATTCACATTGTAGCAGTTTTTTTTTGCAACCATCCTCTCAGGTCTGGAACATCAAGCTCCAGAAAATTAGCACTTAGCAGATGGTGAAGTGGCACACAGCTTCTTTTATTATTAAACTAACAGACAACTGAACAGGCAGGTGCGGCAGAAGTAAACATTTCATGGTCACAAAAAACATGTACCGAAGAAAAGAAGCAACAGGGTGATCCAAACGGAAAACAAAAGAAAAACGAAAAACTGCTGCACTTTATCTTTCAAACTGTACCGAACAGCTTTGAGAACAGGTTCACTCTCAGAATCCAGCCACGGAAAGCAGAGACAGTAGTGAACGTTTAACAATACTCAGAATACAAAAATAAAGAACAGTATCAAACATTTCAAAACAATACATGGCAATATCAAGAGTTACATGGTTCTTTTATTTCAAGCATTACCCAGGTTTGTTTGTTCCTTTGGACAAAGGCACCTCAAGTGTTCCAGTTACCTATAAAAGAGGCCTGTACTGCGAAGAAGGTTCATTGCTTCAAGATTCCTTCGTCCTGACTGAGAATGTACAGAGCAGCAAAACAGAAACAGCTCCAAGCTAAGAGAGCACACAGAAAAACCAACCGAGTCACAAGATACAGATAGGATGCACAGAAAAACTTTATTTAACGTAAACAACTAAGAGGATTGTTGATCTGAAGTTCACCAAATTTACGGCAAATGGTTCTACAACCATTTGTAGAACTAACCGTCTTTCGGGATAAAGAAAGACGGATACAGATCTGACTTGCTGACTTCCTTTAACCCCCTTGATCCAACATGCTAGAGGCTGTTCACCTTGTAGACCTGCTGTGGATACGGGTATGGCGTGGCATGAGATGTACACCTTCTCCCCTGGATTTTCAAGGACCAGCGAGAGCTCACAGGACGCCGCCGGAACCGTGACGCTTTCCAGAGCACAAGATTGAGGAAAGATTTGAACAATCGAAGGACACAAGGACCGAAAGATGGAACCCATGGAAAGATGGCAACAATAAAGTAGTAATAGCCATGAAAGAAAGGGAATGATACAAGGAAGACATGATGGAAAATTTACACAACACAGGTCAGAACATTGAAATACTGAAGACCAATTCTAGACCGCTCAGGAATCCCAGTAATCTACGTCCAAAGAATCCAAGTAGATTACACTCTTTGGATCCCTGTCCCAGCTTGAATTGGTCTTCAGTATTTCCCAGATTGTCTCCCATCCAGTCTTCCTTGCTTCCTCTTGTCCTTTCCTATTATGTTACTACTTTCCCTTATCATTGCCCATCAATCATTCTTTCAATCGTTCCTTGCATCGTTCTTGTCCTTGGTGGTTTTACTAGATTGTGTCCTTCTGTTATTGCTTCCTAGTTTCCTTCCCTTTTCATGCAGCCTCCATAGTTAGTTCTATCCACTATAAAACCATTTACCATAAATTCAACCAAGACAAAAAGGGACTAATTGAAAGACAGCAAAGATGAGGGAAAGCAGCAACATCACAGGAAAGGAAAGGGTACAAGGAAGACAGAATTGATACTGAAGACCAGTTCTGGACAGCACAGATATCCAAATAATCTACGCTATAAAGCATAACACCAAAGCCTTAAGGAGTTTGATCATTTGCTCAGAGGTTTCACTTTGATCTTGGAAATGGATTGAGTCCTGAAATCTGTGAAGAAACAGAACTACAGCTGCACAGTACAGGCCACAGGTTCCAGGATTGGAAGTGTTGATCAGTTCCGGACCAACACTGACGTTTAAAAAAGAGACACTCGAGAGAAGCCCTTGTTGTGTGATGATCAACATCTTGAACAGTCTTCATAAGATCACAACTCCCAGTACCGGTGTTTGATTCGAGGCGCCCTGTTCAACCTTTTGCTCGCTTCTACAATCAACCAACTCACTCTCACTAAGTACACACGTTACAAAACGACTGGCTTGGTCTTTCCGTAAAAAAATTCCAGTTCAAGTCTAAAGGCAAACTTGAGATTTACACACCGACCAAAACAATAATAATAATAATAATAATAAAAAAGATAGAAATGACAAGAAGCTCCAAGTTTCTTAATAAAATATCCATATAGTATCTAACAGTTAGCTGCCCTGAGGGAGATGTATGTCAACCTTTACCACTTCTGTTGCATGACGGCAGTTAATAAGCACTTTGGGTCTGCCGCGTGGAGTTCTGCACAGTGGGATGCAACACTGGAGGGCTTGGGGTCTTCATCCACCTCAAGCAAGTACATCACTTCCGTTTTTGTTCTCATCGTTTGATTTTACGCACGCAGACCTGTGAAGACATCTATTGGTCAGTTTCCTTGCATGAAAGCCATGATTTATGAAGATGAGAGAAGAGGAAATGGCTTACCTTTGTCACAGGTGCTGCTTTGCTTCTCCTGGGCAAAGTTCAGTCTGTTCTGCTCCACTGCAATGCCGTTGGACTCTGGGCTGCTGCTGCGGGGCGGGCTGTTCTCCTCGTTCTGATATGCCAAATCCAGATGCTGCTGAGCCAGTTTCAGGTGTCGGCGCAGCCTCTCCAGCTCCCGAGATGATGCTTCATCACCAAAGGATTCGCGACCCGAATCTCCGAAGTTATCCCTGAAGCCCATCTTCCCATTCGGGTCTTTCTTCAGAGCGGTGTGGTATCCTGGAGGTGCAGAGGGCTGGCGGCAGATCGAGGACCTCTGGCTAGCCGGCGGTGGGGGGCGAGGGGCTCGAGAGCGAGGCCGCGGCCGGCAAAAGCAGTCCCGAATTCCGCTGAGGCCAAGATGAAAGATCTCCAGCATGGTGAAGAAGAGACACAACGCGCTGACGCCGTACATGATGAGCAGGAAGATGGTTTTCTCAGTGGGACGAGAAATGAAGCAATCCACTGTGTGCGGGCAAGGAGAGCGCGTGCAGATGTAGGACGGCGCCACCTCCAGCCCGTAGAGGACGTACTGCCCAAACAAAAAGGCCGCCTCAAAGACAGCGCGAGACAGCAGCTGGAAGACGTAGACCTTCATCAGTCCGTCTCTCTTGATGCGACGCCGGCCATCGTGCTTCTTTTTTGGCTTCTCTGCAACTTCCTTCTCCTTATCCGGCTCGATCTCCTCGAGGATCATGGGGTCCTCCTCCCCGTTATCCTCCGCCTCTTCGTAATCCCTGTTGGCGCCCCGACTCACTATTGGCATCTTCTTTCTGCCCTGTGGCCTGTATTCATCGTCGTCCATGCGAGCGATCTTGTGCATGGCAAACCCTAGGTACAAGATGGTGGGCGTGGTGATCATGATCACCTGAAACACCCAGAAGCGAATGTGCGAAAGAGGAGCAAACGCATCGTAGCAAACGTTCTCACAACCGGGTTGCTGTGTGTTGCACACAAATTTACTCTGTTCATCGTAGTAGATTGACTCGCCGCCGACCGCCGTCAGCACGATCCGGAAGACGATGAGGAAGGTGAGCCAGATTTTGCCCACGAAGGTCGAGTGATTGGAAATCTCATCCAGCAGACGAGTGAGGAAGCTCCAGCTCATTTTGCTGCCAGATGAAGGAAGTTATAAATCCTGTGAAGAGGGGAAAAAGGAACATTTCCATAAAAACGTGCCCTGAAAATCACAGTTACAAGAAAAAGCTCTACAACTCTGAAATATTTATTGCATTGCTTACAATAAATTTCTTAGAATTTTGATTTATTGTCACAATAAATTTCAATTAAAGATGTTTTTTAAAAAAACAAAACTGTATATATTGTTGGAATTGTTAATTTTACCTTCTCTTTTTTCATTAAGAGCATCAATACATTTGAAAAATATGATTAAATGCAGTTACTGTGAGCAGTTTAGGGACAGAAATAACATTTCTTTAGGTGGCTTTTCTCCAAAAGAAGTACATCTACAATTTTTTAGAGCAGTATTTGTGTTGCTCTGCCAGTTACCTTAAAAAGTGGCAATAAATAGTTCTTATTACTTTGTTATCACAATGGTACTCTAAACGATTGTGATAAAAGTCTAAGCTTATATCACTGACCTATGATGGTACACTATGACCATTACAGAGGGACAAATGGACATTTCCATAAAATAATTAGATTAATCAGAGAAATTTTCTGGGGGGAAAAAATTTCTGAGTTTGAAAAGTTAAAAATGTGTTAGAAAAACTAAAATTTTGCAATTAATCGCAGGAATATTCTAGAAAAAAAATTAAGTAAATTTCTGAGTTTAAAAAGTCAAATCTTTGGCAGAAAAGTAATTTTTTAGATTAATCAGAAATTTTCTAGAAAAAAGAAACTTCCGAGTTGAAGCGGTTGAAAATTTGCTAGAAAAACTAAAATTTTGATATTAATCTCAGAAAACAAGGGAAACTCTGGATTTGAAAGGTCAAAAACCTGCTAGGAAAAAAATTTTAAATGAATGTCAAAAGTTTGAGAAAAAAAAGGAAATTTCTCGGTTTCAAAAGTAAAAATGTTTCACTATTGAAAATTCTGAGTTTGAAGAAACTCAAAGTTGGAAATAGACGACTTGTGAAACTCAGATATGCTCACATTAATTTCAAGCCAGATGTTGCCTGCATTAAAACAAACGGCCACAGTGTGGCGCAAAATCATAAAAAAAAATGCATCTTCATCCTGGCCTGCAGCAATGAGGCCGACATGCTCAGGCACTGCTCCCAAAAAGCCTAAAAACCAGCCAACCATAACAGCCCTGCAGCACACAAGTCATCGACTGAAGTCGCAATAGGTCAAGACTTTAGTTTTCCAGAATGTTCCAGAAGTATTATTGTTGAGGAAAGTAAAGATCTTAGTCATGTTCCCATTTAGGTCCATATTAACTTTGACTGAGTTGTTTGTTATGATATTTTCCAGTGTCTCACTAAACAGTCAGTTCTCCAAGACACACACACACACACACACACAGTCCCATCCAGATGCTGCTGATTGAAGTTTAATAGGGTCTCACAATGACTAATATGCTGTTGTGGTTTCACAGCATCTAGCAAACCTCAATGTCTGTAGAGTCTTGATCTCACTTAGAAAACCAAACAAAAGGGCACAAAGCTTTTTCTAAAAGCGTTTGAGTAACACGGTTTATTACATTTGTCTCATCTTAATCTACAAGATCTGATTTTGCCAGCCAGCTCATTGGCTGCAAAGACATTAAGATGGAGAAACGGCACTAAACTTGGCAGAAACTAGTAAATTATAGACTTCTAAACCGCAAAACGAGGCATTTTGTCCCACTGATGTGGCCAATTAGTTTGATTTGGACTAAATTACTTTGTACACCTGACTAGCTTGTTTTTTCCAGCAATTTGCAGTGTTGCATAATCTCTCTTAAAAAAGCGACTATCCCTTTAAGAACAGATACTGCAGCTGAAAAAGCTTTGAGGCATTTAGTGAAGGTGAAATACTTGGAAACAAAATTCCTTCACATGTCTGGAAATCTGATCGTTCTGCATTCACACCCAGTTCAGCTTATTCCTGCTTTTTTTTTTTCTGAACACTTATTTTAAGTTGTCATGATGGGGTTGTTTTCACCTCTTCTGGCATTTAAAGTATTTTAAAAGTGATAAATATTTTATTAAATTTAGCAAATCAAACCTATTTTTATGTTGTCTAATATACAGTTTAATACATTTGACTTTTTAAAAACCTAAATACATAGATGCATCTCAAATATGTAAACCCGTTAAATTATATTTCTCATTTTTTATGCAATTGTTTGCAAAAACTGCAGATGCAGCCGTTCCACAAATTGACCAAATCATCTCATAAATTAATGAGCCAATGCTACATTTTAAAACCATATCTTACATCAGTAACACCAACAAAACTATGTGAATGTAGGACATCTTTCTCCACAGGAAGTCCAAATATGGTAGCCTGAATAATCAATCAAATTTTATTTGTATAGCACATTTCAGCAGCAAGGCATTTCAAGGTGCTTTACATAATTAAAAAGCAAAATAAAAACAGCATGTGACATTAAGCAAATACCAAGTCTTGAACAGAAAAGAAACAGTCCAGTTTGACTTGATGTAGACCAGTTCAAGAGCCTGTTAGGTTAAGTTGATGAATAACGAGCATTTTTTTAATGTTTGAACAGGATATGAAATAAATCCCATTGAAGACAAAGGAAAGAAAATCCCTCCAGACCTGTTGATCTGCTGTGCGAATAGACAAGATTTCTGAACAATGCACAGCAACCTGCTGATTCCAACTGTCTCTGGGTGTTTCTTTAGAAAACTTTATTGTAGCCGTGAGTCATTGTTAGGTTTGCAGACAGTTACACCCAGGGGCGCGGTGGGACACCGGCTGTCCTTAAACTAATTATCTCTCCATCGTTGTCCTCATATCTTCTGGTACATACATTAGCATTTTGTCCACAGTCCATGTCAGAAGATAACAGAAATGATCCTTTTGTTTTGTAACCACCATTCATAATTTCTTTTGTTTGGTTTTTAGAAATGGGACATTATGAATTAATATTTACATGTAAATGTTTGATATTATAGCTATCAGGCTAATTTCTATCTCTAAATAGTAATTAAACAGCTGTTTGTAATCTGTAGTCTACAGTGGTTCAATAATTGAGATTTTAAGTACATAAGTTGAATAAAGTTAGTGTAACAATGGTAAAAGTACAGTTGTATATTAGCCTAGCTAGTTAAGATACTTTAAAATAAGGCTAGTTTTAGTTAGGCTAAGCTAAGCCTAGTTAAGCTAGCTGGGCTAATTGTGTGACTTGCCACTGTAACAAATAAATCTACTGCAGATTAATGTGTTTTGTTTGGGTAAATAAATAGTTTTGCTTTTGAGGTTTTGATCCACTGTTCATTTTGATAACTTACTCACTACACCTGCAACATCCACAATGTCAGACATCTTACTTTCCCTGAAAAGTGAGACAAGTAGAAGATTTTTTTAATTAAGTGCATGAAAACAACTCATGTTTATGTACAAATGCAGACAAGGCTGTAAATGACCAGAAACTAAAATCTGTCTTTGATTGTTCTGTTTGTGTTTTCACTCAAAGTTGATTTTTCTGTATTTTCAGTGCCGGTTGTTTCACAACTTTTAGGTACAAAACGATGTATAAAACCAGCTGCAGATTATACTTTGTTGCTTAACACAGATAAGCAAAAAAGTTATGTTTATGACTATAAACATTTTCATCTCAGAAAATGTTTATAGCCATGGCTAATTAACAACAACCCCTAAAAAGGACAAATAATTCAATGGAAAGTGAAAACTAACACAAAATGATCAAAACAAGATTGAAAATATTTTTCAAAACTTTTGTCTACTTTTAAAAAACTTTTAAAAATGAGGTCTAGTTTATTTTTAGCCAGTTCTTAAGTGAATATTTCAACATCAGTTATGGTCTTAAAGTCATTACAACTCAACTGAAAAGGTTGTCCAGAGGTCATCCAGCCAAACTGTGTTTTTACATACACATATATATATATATATATATATATATATATATATATATATAGAGAGAGAGAGAGAGAGAGAGAGAGAGAGAGACATGATTTGTGGCGCCTCTAATGACTGCTGCAGTTCTGTCTCTCAATAAATGTACATAGCGGCTCAGTGGGCAGAGAAGTTTTTATTCTGCCAAATGTTTTTCCTTGGAAGTTATCAAAATTACCGGAGTATTTGGAGGAAACAGTAGCTACACCAGCATTAAATGGGCGTAACAAGGAAAGCAGCCAGAAAAGCGACCGAGAGATGTTTAATTTCCCCTCTAGTATTTATTCTTGCCTGCAGGTTCCTTCATCTGTTTAACATTTAAAAAAGCATAAAACAAACGTACACTGCAGCTTCTGTTGTAAGATCAGAGAGAGAAAGGGAAGTATGGAAACATCTGGCTCTGTTTTACGACTGGATGCAAGACTAAACCAGATCCAGCAGGTTCCTTTTAGTTGTTTAGTATTTTTTATTAAAGGCCCACGTTTCAAGTGTTTTCACCAGTCTTATAAAATGTACAGAACATTACAGCCTATATTATATATACAAAAAAAAACTTATTGAAATCGAGGTAAAATATCTTTTTTTCTAGTTTCTGAATTATTGCATTTATATTATTCAGTGTTTCTGTTGAATGTCCTGTTTTCAACTGTGAATCAGCAAAAATCAGATTTAACTTGAACAGATGGTTGAGGCTTCAGTGAAGTACTTCTGAAGTATTGAGGTGCCATGTTGGTGTCTTTATTCATGCTTGAATGGTAAACAAGCCTCCAGCCACTAGGTGGCAGCAGTGTTCAACCTAAAAAGGCTTTTTAACTCAGTAGAAGAAGTTGAAACAGGCAGACGAAGCTGACAGAGGAGACGGTTTGTGACAATAAAAATTAGGTGATGGAGTCCAAAAAGTACAACAAAGTCTAGATGCCTTTGCGTTTACTGTGAATGCGAAATGTTATACACAAAAATTGGTGCAATTTTTGCACAAAAAACAGTTTGTGATTTTTGAACAGCAATATGTTGATTAATCTGACAAGTAACTCATATTTACAGTTTTATGTTATTGTTACTAAAAATACACAACGCAGTGAATTATTTTCACTTTTACCTGTTGAGAATTAAATGAACTGAACAGTTGTGGGCAAATCTTACAAACTGAGTTAATAAACCTAAACTTGGAAATAGTTTTAAGACTTAACGACAAAATGAGCTGCAGTAATTATAAATTTGTTTTATTAATCTCTTGATAAATGATTTTGAAAGAGGAGTCTTAAATCTCAAATTTACCAAAGAAACTGGGGACAGGCTTTCTGTGTGCATAAAGTCCAGTTTCACAAATATAATAAACTGTTTTCATAAAACAGCAACATGATTGAGAATTGATTGGATTGGTTAAATATTTGGATTTAGATGAAGGTTGACAGAAAAAAGTGAAAATTCAGAGGGAAAAAGTCAGAATTTTATTCATCTTTAATTTTTTTTAATGGTCCTCCTAATAATCTTTATGTCGATTTAACTTTTAAATCATGTTTCTTTTTATTTGAATGTCCAGTTAAGCTTAGACATTGGGAAACGAAGCTCCAGTTGGAAATGTTCATATATGTAAACATTTTTTTAAAAATCTCATCCTTTTTCATTCCACTCAATAAAATCTTCTCCAGCTGGTCCAAAACTTTTCCCCAGGTCTTCTTGGCATTCCTATGTTACACTTTCAGTGATCTTTTCACATTGGCACCTGTTCACTTCAGAACGCAGTCAAAAAAATAAAAAGTTCTGCCTTCATAAATCTCATAACTTTTTATATCCGTAAGTCGCTGCCAGATCAGATCAGAGCCTGCTGCCTGATCCAAAGTCAGAGACTTTGCAGATGTGAACTAGAACTCAGTGACCCTCAGTTTGCACACGTTTTTACCTCCTCTGTTCTTATTTAACTCACTTTTTACTTCCTTTTTTTCCTCGAAAGAGTTTATTATTATTTATTTATTTAACCTGGAGGCCAAAGTTGGAGTTTTAGTTCATTTATTTGAATCAGGCGGCGCGTAAAACGATCAAAATCTGACTCGGTTCAACTGGTTTCATCTGAAATCAGAGTGGTGCGTGTTTCAGCAGGATTTTTCCGTTCTGCTCGCCGTCAGGAACATCTTATCTCTACCTTTGAATCAGTATCTGGATCAGAGAAACAGCTGCGCCGAGCTGATGCGGGTATTTAAGGGATTTTTGGCCATTTTCGCAGCGCAGGATCTTGGTTCTACAGAACAGAGACGCTTTTGTGGCCCCAACATCTGGGAGAAGGGTTAAAGTTGATCCTTATATATCCCACCCCTTTAGCCTAAAGGGGGGAGGGAAAGGGCTTGAGGAAAAAAATTAAAACTTAAAAAAAAAAAAAGTTTTGGAGGAATGTGCTCAGCCCTGAAAAAAACCCAGATATGCGACGGAACCAGAAAACTAGCGGGATTAGACGCATGTTTGGGTTTAATAAAGCCAAGAATGTCTCATCATGAAGCAGCACAACGTGAACTGGAAACTAATCCCATTTGCGGGGAATGCGGGAAAGAGGAGGAAAAAAAATCCTCCTCGTGGCAAACGACGTCACGGCGGAACCTCGCAGGATCCGAATGGGAACCGGGTCATCAATATGTCCCGACTGACAAACTGGATCACTTTAAAACCCAATTGGTACAAAATTACAGAAAATCTGGGGTAAATAGATTCCCACAAGAAAGAAAAACATAAAACGATCCCTGTAGATTTCCCTGTAATAATAAACACCCCAAACTGGCATTATATATTACAATCCGTCACACGTTCATTTAATTAATCCCATTTTACTGCCAATCCGCAGGTAATTTCAGGTATTCCGGCTGATTTCCAGTTTCTAATTAGCGCTACATCCCATCAGTTTGTGCGCTTCAGCTCAAACTGGGTTTTAAACGCCTCGTTAACCCGATTTTATTCACTTTCCCAGCATATGTAGTTTTAAAAAACAGCTTTTCAAACAAATCATAAAGCAGAGAGATAAAAACTAGAGTCACAGAAGCGTTTGTTAACAGATGAAGAGCGGACCGGTGAGGATGCCGCCTCGCTTTGTCTGGGGTTTTTCTTTTACCTTCAGAATGTCTTCTGGTCCCTGGAAGTTGTCTTCAGTTGGATATCTGGATTTTAAGCTCTTCTGCGCCAAATTTGAAGCCCTTCAAGTTGTTGTTTTTCCTCCTTTTGCTTCGAGGAGACAGCTGCTTCTCCAGTGGTGCTGCGCTAACTGGGCGAGGACAAAGAATATTCCCAAATCCCCCTTTTCTCCTCCCAGTTTGAGCTCCCCACCCCCTCGTCTGCGCAGCGAGGAATCTGCAGCTTCTCTGGACCGCCCTTTATACTCACTCCTTACAAAACCCATAGCAGTGATTTTATTTCAGATTAGACTGCATCATGCTTGGCCCACAAACTGATTCGTTATTATTATTTCTGCAGGTTGTAATCAAAATGAAACGACAGAAGCTGCAGCCAGGTCTTTAAATCTTTGTTCTGGGATGTAAAGAGGAGCACACTCGTGAAGTCTGCCCCTCTTCCTGTTCACAACAATATTCGGAAGTCGTTGCTAAATCCCAAACTTGTGTCACAGCAAAAGGAACAAACGGACTTCCTGAGAACCTCCTTCATGAGACTCTGCACGTCACGGAGCTGTTTGGCTGCTCCAGTCACTGTTAGCCATGGGGTTCCACAGGGTTTAGTTCTGGGACCATTTTCCTTCTGGTTTATCCTTATGAAGTATCTTCACCGCTTTGGGGATCATGTGATGGAGTAGTACTCAGTTATGTTTACTTGAGTACCTTTCTTGAAAAAATTACTTTTAGGAGTATTTTCTCTGCATTGTATTTATTATGCAGTATCTCTACTCTTGAGTAAAATTTCTGGATTTTCTCCCCACTGAATGAAAAGCAAACATGTTTTAACATAAAATTAACCACAGAACCATTATCTTTAAGTAGAGCTGAACAGAAATCAGAAGCGAAATGGTTAATTATTGTACTTTTTCTCAATTTATGAGCTGTAATTATTTTATTTATTTTGCTATGTATGTTAAATCTGTCATATGTGGTATGTTTGAACGATTTCTACTGTATGCGTGTTTTAGTGATGGGATCTGAACCTTCAGGAAGAGTAGCTGGGTGTGAAGCCTAAACAAAGTCGGATTTGTTTTTGGAGGTGTGAACATTCAATGAAATTCTGATGCTTTCCAAAATACCAAACTCTGTTCTGCCTACAAATCTCGGTCTGGGTTCGGTTGACATGAACTCCAGAAGCAGGAAGTGGACTCCAATGCAGGGCATTCTGGGCAAATACAAGCAAAACAAACG